CATGTAAAGTATATTTTGATTTACTATTTCATTTTGGTTTATTTATATCGATTTAAAATTATGATGCAGTGTTTAAATTTTGAATATTGATTTTTGGAATTGAAACACTGGTCATTACCATTATCGTGTGAATAATACAATATTAATTATGAACCTAATTTTTTGGCCCTTGATCTGTCAATAATTTTTCTCTTTCATCACTTGGTATCCATTTGGGAGGAGGAATTAGTTCACATTTTGTAGCCTCACAGAGAGGAACAGTCTCCTCCTTAAGATTTTCAAAAAATCTTAACCCAGTAGTTCTTTCCAAAGCATTAAGCGGAACCATGTAAGTTTCAAGTGGATCATCATGCGGTATAGGCTGGTTTGGTATCAAGAAACAGCCAAGTGCATGCAATTTTCCGCTATCGTTTTCTTTAACGGCCAAGATTATTTTAAAAAAGTGTGTTGGGACGGCAACGTTTGGAGGCTCGCCTATGAGTTGATACTTCACATACCATTTACCTTATGATAATAGAGGTGTTGCATTATTATTAAGAGGATATGTTAATATAATAAAAGTATTCAATTACCATCTTCCTCTTTCTTCGGTAAATAAGCTGGGCCTGTAAATATGTAAACGTCTTTGAAGTGTTCTTTGAGTACAAGTTTTCTACAAAATTCTTCAAGGAATGCCCAATCTGTTGTAATCAGATAAAATTTGAAAAATTATTGTCATAAACGTGCCGGCTATTTCAAAAGTTACTATACACGTCCTGACTTATATAGAGATCATGATGATTTATTCATGCAAAATATGTACTTTTGGCATATGTAAACTCTATAAGGTCACTTAGAAAAAAAGGGACGTGTACAATGACTTTTGAAACACCCAGTATATACGGCTAATTTCCACTCTAAATGATATCACCTATATTATTTTATAACTATAAAAATTTTTGCACCAAAATTTTAGAACTATAATTAAAGTTAAAATTATGGTTTTGTGGCAAGTATATACTAATCATTTAACTTAGGTGATATCACCTATGGTGAAATTGGTAAAAATCAAAAACATACAATCTCTATT